TATGATTGACTTCTGTTCAAGCAAGCCTTTAACTTATCGCAAATATGCCACCATGATTCTGGTATGACAGTTTTTGTACAGATTATCATATTACTTTATACCATTTGGTAAGGTGGCATATGATTCTATCAATCAATTAAGGGCTTTGCGAAATGTCCTGCCATGTTTAATTTGTACATGTATTGTACATTGATGTATGAAATCACTTGAAATATCTATAGTTATCTGAATGTTCTTCATACTGATGCACTTATCTCTTCAAATATTCTTGCAAACCAGTGACTTCATTTTATACTTATGTACCTTATCTGTCTCTAAGTCTACATGGCTGATTGCTTTTTATGTATGCATAATATACAGCATGGCTTTTATTCTATGCAATATCTATACATACAGTAGAACAAACCTTTTTTAAATGTAATCTTTTGGTTGTGTATAATTAAGCTTTAATATTATACGTTAGCAAAGTGCACTGTTCAAACCATGAAAAACAATCCACATGGTTTAAAACATCACTGCATGAGCTCCTTACTCAAGGGTCTACTAAGTCAGAATGTGAAGAGAAATTAATATTATCTCAATTGACTAAGGCATATACATGTCATTTTTAACAATTAAAATATCCAAAGTCAAATGCGTTGTCCTTTTTTATGACATGAGGCATTATTTATTTTTTAAGAAAATCGCTAAATATTTACTTCCCTTCAGGGCGCCCAAGATGTAGATGCATTTTTTTCTAGTCATAAATTTAGAGAAATTTAGCATTGCGTCACTTGCTCACCAATGGATCCTCTGCAGTGAATGGGTGCCGTCAGAATGAGAGTCCAAACAGCTGATAAAAACATCACAATAATCCACAATACTCCAATCCATCCATTAATATCTTGTGAAGTGAAAAGCTATTTGTTTGAAACAAATTCATCGAGATGTTTTTAACTTCAAACTCAAAAAGAGTCCTCTATCCATAATATTGCTTTTTCCAGTGAAAAAGATGTTTCGTCTGAATCAGGAGAGAAAAATAAACAGATTAAGCAGTTTGCAAGCGACAACAGTCTAAACAGTTCTAAACAAATAATGTCAGTGGATAACGGATGAATTTTTTCACTGGAGGAAGTGTTATTATGATGGTTTAATGTTAAAATGCCTTATTAAAGGATTTGTTTCTTACAAACATGCAGCGTTTAATTTCACAAGATGTTAACTGATGGACTGGAGTTTTATGGATTACTTGTGGATTATTGTGATGTTTTTATCAGCTGTTTGGACTCATTCTGACGGCACCCATTCACTGCAGAGGATCCATTGGTGAGCAAGTGATGTAATGCTAAATTTCTCCAAATCTGTTCCAATGAAGAAACAAACTCATCTATCTTGGATGACCTGAGGGTGAGTAAAAATTGCAGCAAATTTTAATTTTTTGGCGTACTATTCCTTTAATATGAGTTTACATAATGTATTATCGGTAATTAATCAATGTGCATATGGAAACAATCATATACTAACAAACATGGACACTTACAAAACATTAAAAGCTAAAAATATCCAAGCCTTGTGCAATTTACACAATGTTGCATTTTTTTCGAAAAAAGTACATACCATCTGCTTCAGTATCAACTTCTTTGTGTGGGTGTTTTAAAGGTTAAAAATCCTCCTATTATAGGGTTGGCACTGTCATGCCTGCAGTCCTAAAAGAAATATGTCTGTGCACCAGAGGGGGGCGTTGCTGACCAAGGCTGAAACTTCAGACTCTCCAAACGTTTTATGTCTCTGGACGTTTGTTTCTACTCCCCCACCCTCTCAGGTTTCAGTTATAGACATTGCACCAAAAAGATCTGTGCAACAGTATTTGGATGAGCCATTTACATAAGTATTATCATCTACACTCATTATTAGCTGTTTAATTTAAACCATGGTGTAAATATGTATTTTATTGCATATATGTGGTTTATATAGCGCATTACTATAAAAAAAAGAACATTAATGTTCTGCCAGAAAGATGCAAGAGGAATTTTTAAGACCGAGTTCATTTGACCTGCACACTATAAATCCATACAAATATTACAAGGTGAAATTGGCTGACTAAGTTACAACGGTATTCAGAGAGCAGGTTACCGTACAACAGAAGGAAAGATTATATGTTCATACATACACACTCACAAAAATCACATCCACACAGAATAATCTCACAGTCGTTTCTCCTCCATAGCCATAGGGATGGATGATTCCTAGAAAGGCAGTGTTTGTCACAATGCATTTTCTGCTCAAAAGGCAGAAAGCTGTCTTTGCCCAGGCGCTTACAGATTATAGTGCCATTATTCTCTCAGTATCTAGTTTCATCAGATCACTTGGTGCCCTGACTTCACCATCTGACATGTTATGTTGTATCCGGACCGCACAGTAAAAACCATGACATTAGAAGCACAGTTGTTTTAAAACAAGGCTGTGTGGTTTTTTGAAAATCAAACATGCCATAACATGGGTATATTCGAACTGAGTGGCTTGAACATCATTTTATTACTCTGAAAAATTGTCACATTTTGTGATTACACAAGATAAAAAGTCTCTACTGAAAAGACCATCATAGCTGTTGTCCCCACTAGACCTCTTTATAACTAGCAACGCTAGCAACACTATCTTGGTCAACCAGCTTCACTAACTACCGGTTCACCAGCTAGACCAATGCATATTACTAATCAAAAATTAAGTTTTGATATATTTACGGTAGGAAATTTACAAAATATCTTCATGGAACATGATCTTTACTTAATATCCAAATGATTTTTGGGAAAAAAGAAAAATTAATCATTTTGACCCATACAATGTATTGTTGGCTATTGCTACAAATATACCCGTGCTACTTATGACTGGTTTTGTGGTCCAGGGTCACATATAGTAAGTGCATGTAATTAATTAATATTACTCAGTAGCCTACTTAAATGTATAATTATATTGTAACAAGGACACCTTAAAGCTGCAGTCCGTAACTTTTTTTGGTTAAAAATGATCTGAAATCAATATTTGAGCAAGTACATAACCAGCCAGTGTTCAAAACTATTGCCTTACTTTAGCCCGATTCACAACGGTTAGCTTATAATAATGTTTTCTAATTTGAGTGGTACAGGTAGCATGGCACTGCGTCATTACGTCACGTCTGTAAACATAAAGAAGTTGTCCCGGCTACTAGGCTATCGCATGTGAGGATCCTGCAGGTGGAGGATCGTTTATAGCCTTTTCTCACAGCAGCTGGAGTAATTAAATGTATCATTTTTAATGGCGGATTGTAATCCAGAAAGGATTATGTGAAACACATGTGAATGAAATTAAATTATATTCCAGTTATAAATGTGCTTCTGATTACAGATAGCCTGGGATTACAAAGATTTGTATTTGAAAGAAAACCCGTTCGAAGGGAGCATAATTAGCTTTTGGGTTAAAAGAATGTCTTAATATGAAATTCAAAGAGTATGACAATTAGATTAGACTGTGTAGAAATTGAAATCTACTTGCTAATACACACTACTCATAGTCACCAATGCTGATGTTGTTCACATGAATCATTTGAGAATAAAATATAACAATAATAATAATTTGAACGGTTTGATGTGATATGAGCTAACCGATCTTTAGATTTATTCACCATTGATAGCGAGATTTATTGTAATGCTTTTTTCCTCAGTTGGTCAGAACAAACGTGGCAGACTTGTTACTTGTTCAGATGGCAATATACAGTGAAAATTCTTATTTGGGTCATATTCCAAGATGTAGGCTAGAATCTGTGATTGCGAAGTACAGTAAATATCCACACCAGTGCGGTGACTGACTGCCACACACAGCTCAAAACATTAGATTCATCAGCGCTGGAGCCCTGCCGACTCACAACCCACGCAAGCTAGATAATTCCGCACACAGCTGCAATTCCAGGTGTTCAAACAGAGATGGCGACAAAGAGGCAAAATTTACGGACTGCAGCTTTAAAATAAAGTGTAACCGAATAATAAATGTGTCTACTAAGAAGAAGCAGTGTGCGAATTATTCATTGACCTTCAGAAAGGCTCAAATTAATTGTAATAATTTTTCGGGTATTTCGTTTCAGATCTCACGCGACCCCAAATTCTGGAGTTCCAGATAGCCGTCAACTACCTTAAAAGCATTTTAATTAACATTAAAAGTGAATTTAATTTTTTGTGTGTGTTTTGTGAATAATCCACAGTAAAGTCATGCGTTCTGCCGCTTTGCTGACCCTAAACCGCGTTCCAGCGAACACGATTTCAACTTTACCGTTTACAGAAACATTTGAGAACGCTGTTGAATTGTGTGAATCCTTATGTAGAACGAATAGCCTTCATAGTTTTATTTCTTTTGACTTCCTCGCACCCTGCTAGTCTGATCCATGTCCAGCCAACTGATAGACAATACCCAGCTGTTAGCATGGAGTAATACCAATTCTTTTCCATAAGGCATCATGACGTAATAGAATGAATGACGTAAAAACGCTACTTTTACCGTTCAGGAATGTTTATGTTATTATTGGGCGACATGTTATTATTAGACAAATCATTTGGTGAATACAGGTAATGTAATGTCACGGATTTTTTTTTTTGCTACACCCCTAACAGTCGGTTTAGGTGGTGCGTGCTTATTTGCTGTCTGCGCTTCTATGGCAGCGTAATATATTATCCATCCCCACGCGTGTTACCACAACTGATCTGGACATTTTTTGCACATTGGATTACTAATGTGTCAATGGCCGGGAGCTTCGTAAGTGCTGTTTAAAGAGTAGTTTGGAAATGATTTGTCATTGAGACGCGCGTCAAATTGTTATTTTCCATAAGGCATCATGACGTAATAGAATGAATGACGTAAAAACGCTACTTTTACCGTTCAGGAATGTTTATGTTATTATTGGGCGACATGTTATTATTAGACAAATCATTTGGTGAATACAGGTAATGTCATGTCACGGATTTTTTTTTTTTGCTACACCCCTAACAGTCGGTTTAGGTGGTGCGTGCTTATTTGCTGTCTGCGCTTCTATGGCAGCGTAATATATTATCCATCCCCACGCGTGTTACCACAACTGATCTGGACATTTTTTGCACATTGGATTACTAATGTGTCAATGGCCGGGAGCTTCGTAAGTGCTGTTTAAAGAGTAGTTTGGAAATGATTTGTCATTGAGACGCGCGTCAAATTGTTTCCCATTCAGACACGTCCCTCCGTCTTCCCGCATCCAGTGTGCGCGCTCGGTGTCTAGTATTACAGATGCAGCTGGATGCATTTTTGTGCGTTCATATTTTTGACGACCTATTTTCCTGCCTGCGTCTCCTCTCAGATGATACCGACTGTCATTTGTTCCGTTAAGGTGGTCGATCACAATGGATAGGGTGCATTCTTCCATGCGCAAACGGCTCTATAGCTTGCCACATCAGTTTGGACACAAGGGTGCTATGACTCGAGACGGCGAAGACAGCGACAAGGACACGCGGAGGAAAAGTGTCAAGATGAAGCATCTTCCCTCACCCTCCTCCACGGGGAGCTCTAAAGGTGTCAGCGAGGCCAAGAGCGGAGACGCGGAGACCGATGTAGGGAGACCCTTCAGAACCAACGTGAACGGCGACTGCCGGAGATTCAGAGGCAGCCTCTCTTCCATCACCAGTCGGCATGCTCCAGACGCGGATCTGGCCGAGCAGAGGTGCCTCATCGGGGATGCAAGCCCCGAGGACGACGGTCCCTTGGAGCAACCCGGACCTGGAGAGAGCCAGGGCGCGCAGGGCGGCCGCGGCGACGGGGCACAACAGGCGCCCTCTGAAGAACAGTCGACTTTCGTAAAGTTGGAAGGTATCGATCAAATCATGCCTGACGATGAGCAGCTGTACCAGGCGGGCTTTATGCACAGGCAGTTTGGCGCGATGCTTCAACCGGGGGTCAACAAGTTCTCGCTTCGAATGTTCGGGAGCGAGAAGGCGGTGGAGCGCGAGCAGGAACGGGTCAAATCTGCAGGCTTTTGGATCATTCACCCATACAGTGACTTCAGGTAATCCCATGTCTAATTGTCGGCTATGCAAATGTTCCCACTGCCATCAGGCCTCCAGCAAGGAGCTCTCCGAAATTAAACGATTCTATGCTTTGCTCACATGTCTGAGCAGATTAAATACAGCCCATTTGTCTTTTCATGGTTTTGTTTTTAAAAACGTCTTTCTGTGTCCTTGAGCTTGCTGAGGATAATTAAAAGCAGGCCCATGCTGTTGCATTCCCTAACCTCACCTGGTCATATTCACCTCTTTCCTGTTTGAATGACATTGATACCATCCACATATTGCAAGGGCAAACAGTGTCACCAACGCCAGCTGTCTAGGAGTTTCTGTGATTGTTTTGCATTCATTGCGTGAAAACTTTCACTGCACCAACCACAGAAGTCAAGTGTAATCTCTCACTTTACTGCATAGAAATAAGTCACACAGTCATATTTAGCCGTTGTTCTCATGTTTTCACTCAAACAGAGCTGGCCGGGAAATAGGGTGATCAAAATGGGTTAACATGACGACGGGCATTATTGGGAGCAAACATCAGAGAGGATTACAACAACACAATTTATTTAATGGCACTCTGGTCCGAGTTGGAGGGGGCAGTACTAACAGTCATGTAGCTGAAATGGACCACATGGCCTTCGCACAGTCAGGACGGCGTGTAAGCCGAGCAGTTATGTGCTTCTAATGAGCGATTGGCACATTGTTTTGGATATCAGTCGAAATAAATGATGTGAGATCAGGGTCATACAGTGCAAAGGAGGACAATGTTGAATCAACACCAGAAATGAAAATGCTGTCATCATTTACTCACCCTCAGGTCACCTGTATGACTTTTTTTCTTCACAGAAGAAGATATTTTAAGTAACTGCTTTTGTCCATTCAGTGAAAGACAATGGGGTCCAAATGAAACCATTTTTGTGTTTTGTTTGGACCCCATTGGCTTCCATTGTATTTGGAAAAAAAACAACAAGATCTTTTTTTATGTTCCACATATAAAATAAAGTCATACAGGTTTGAAATGGCATAAGGATGAGTAAATGATGACAGAATGTTCTTTTTGGATTTTTGTTTGAACTACTTTTTTTCCCTATAACACTGTAAAAAAATTTTTTTTGAAATAGTAAATAAAACAAAGATTACTGCAGATTGTTTTACACAAAAAAACATACAATTTCAGTCTTTCTACTTAAAAATTTGAACATTTAATTCAGTGTCACTTGCCAATTGTGTTTAATTATTTGTCAAATTTACTAGCTATTTCTTAGCGATTTATTTTACAGTGCACTTGAAAAAAATAGTGTAGAAAAATTTTTCACTCAGAAATTGCTAGTAAATCACAATTAATTACAAATTAAAGGCAAGTAACACGGAATAAAACATGAACATTTTCTAATAGAAAGAGTAAAATAGTAATTTTTACTCCAATAATATTTGTTTCAAAAATCACTTTTACAGTGTAGAAAAATGGAAAGGTTACTGGTAATTCTACCAGCACATTATATGTTATATTTAATTTACTCCTAATACACAGGACAATGCAATATGTAATTCAAAATACGAGTAAAAGATCATTTAAAAAAAAAAAAAAAGATCATTGGACCCTTTTTTTTTAAATAAATGAATATTTCCCTTTAATTTGTACTGGCAAAACCACCCAAAATGCATCTGTCAACTTAAACTTAAGTTTTGTGACTATATAAGATGAATGTTATTTCAGGCAGCATCTAAACCTGTTGAGTACCAAATGACCACAGCAGCAGGTGATTTGTAAAGTTTCACCTGTCACAAGAGGTACCGTCCTTACTCGTCTGGCATTTTCAAGTGTCATTTTCACATTTGCCCTTGTCTCCTTCCTCTTGCACTTGCTTCATCCCTCTGTCCCCGTGCTCTCTGACCTTCCTCCCCTCAGCACTGTTAGGGAAGGGGATGGGCGATGCGGGGACTTCCATTTGCTGATTGCATCACCTGGTTGATGCAGAAAACGAGAAGAGAGTGTCAGAATGTGGATGGAGGCTGTTGAGATGGGGGTGGAAGGTTAGCATCAGTGTTCAAGGGGTTCTGGAATAAGGGAAGCAAAGAGACGTGCTTTTTTAATGAATCACCACAGAGTAGCTCTGTTCTGCAGCGCATTTGGAAGAGTAGGAAACATCATTTTCTGCTAAACAATGTGGTGCATCACATCATTTCGCCATTAGCTTCAGCTGAAAATGAAAGCAGTGCTCTCTCACAGACCTAAACATTTCCGTCTATCATTTAGAGCAGTGGAGTCGCATAAGCAAACATTTCAGCCTGTTTATTCAATTATAGACTAAACGTATTACTTCAATGGATGTGAATTCCTGTGATTTGCTCAAACAATACATAGGTGTTTCTTCAGTGTTATGCACTGGTTAGGTTTTAGTCAAACTAACATATTTTGTGTTTTAATTTATTTGTAAGGCTTTTTATAGCCATTTTATAACAACTTTTGAAGGATCATGAAACTTAATAGCAGATGTTCTCAGATGTAAATTATTGAAAATAATGATGTAACATATTATTCTGAATATTAGGAGAAAAGTGTTTATAGTTAAATTTTTTGATCCATTTTGTTGTTACAGTTTAAAAGTGTATCAATGTAAAATCTGACTTTTTTAATAATAAAAAACAGCAGTTTTCATAACAGTTACATTAAAGATATCTGAAACTATCATTTAGTTTCAGATAGTTATACTAAAATAAACATAACTTTAACAGACTACTAAGATGTCAGCCAACACACGCAAAAATGTATTCATAGACTAACATATAGACACAAATACACTAGAAAATCGTCTATTTACTGGGATTTGTTTTTAAATATTTCTTCATAATATTATAAATAAATTGTTTTTGTTCTTCATCAAAATCTGAATTGTGACTGGTCGAGTCGCGGAGAAACGTATTACGTCAATAGATTCTCCACACTAGGAACGTGATACGCGAAAAATACTAAAACGCACAGAGTTCAGTATAGCGCTTTCTGTGCACAACACTTCATTTTGTTTGTTTTTTCTGAACATATTTCATCTACTCTAATGCTAAAACATAAACTGACAGCATTTAGGCGCACATGTTCCATCACATATATTTATACCCCTGTTCACACAGTAATACCAGTAAATTGCTGTAAATCACTGGACCGATTTGTGCTTTTGTTGATGTTTTCATTTTTGTGTCAAATGTTCACATTCCTGTAGCACTTTTGGCCCAGACACATTGTATTACACATAGGGGCGGCGTAAGGGGGGGTTAGGACAATTCCAAGAGCCCGGCATGGGAGGGGGCCCCCCGAGGGGGGAGCGCGATTTCTAACGAGGGGGAAAGACCGTAATTTTTTTGTACTGTGGGGAACGTGGAACGCTATTTCTACCGAGGGGGACCCAACCCCCACCCCCGGAACGTGATTTTTACAGAGGGGGCCCGAGTAAATATGCTGTCCAGGCGGCCCCTGATTACACGACTTCAAAGTGACCTACACAGTGCAGAGTTAATGCATCAAATGCATCAGAATGTTATGATTGGCCCAGAGTAGACATCCAACGTTGGCGCATTCTGAACTTGCACGTGCTCATACCGGTAATCGTCATTCCACATTCACGCACAGCATCATTCCGTTAGTTTACAGGTAATGTTACAACTTTGCTTACTGGTAAATTGCCAGAACAAATTTACCGGTATTTTTGAAAAGGTCCTGTTCACACATGATCTCTTAATGGTAATTTACCAGTAATTTACCAATAAAGACTGTATGTGCGAAAGGGGCTTATGTAAATAACTGCACTGATGCAGCGGAACATCAGATAATGAACTCGATGACGCAGTGTTTTGTAAACGGAAAACAGTGATGAAACCCAGAAATTGAAGAATAATGGACTGTAAAGTAACGACACGCTTTTATTCCCCATCCTTTAAACTGAGTGTTAGTCGTTCTAGTAAAAGGGATGAAGATGTTTTAAATGTTCTTCCTCAGTTTTATAATCAGGCTGTAATATTAACATTTTTAAATTAAAAAACTCATTTGATTTGTCCATAATAGTGTTGTGTCTCATGATAAAGCGGATGTTTGAGAGTTTGTGGTCATACGGTGATATTTTTGAAATGCAGCAGAGGGCCCTGTTTCTTTCATCTCTATAGTTGTAGATCTTGGTTGAGTTCACTTTCTAAAGGCCAAAAAGGCCAAAAGTGACAATAGTTAAAGAAACAGCCTTAAGGCTATCTGAATTCAGTTGATTCTTTTGCATGACGGCGGCATGACAGCCACCCAAGTGAATCATGGCAGTAGTCTTGCATAAACCTATTATTATGTACCCAACACATTAGCTTTCTGCAGGGGACTCCAGCGGCCAGAGCGACTGGTTGAGCTGTGGTGCAGAGCTTTCGGATGATGGCTAGATCTGGTGAGTAGAGTTGACACAGATTCCACAGAGAGATCATCACAATTGGAGCGATGGGGATTGAGAAAGACAATTAGCACTCATAATATGCTAAGCAGCAACAGATAGAGAAGGAGAACAGAGAGTGTATTTTTGGCAGATTGTAAGAGAAAGCTGATTATTGCAAAGGCTTTTGTTTGGATGAAATGTGTTCCCTCCGCTGTCATTTAACAGTGGCTCTCGTCTGTTAGTTGATTTTTAGCCTAAATAGGGTTGTTAAAGATCCACACAACTTCAAAATGAAGGTGGAATCAAAACTTACACACAAACCAAATACCTTTTTGCAGAAATGGAAGCGCCAGCGCAAGTTCTACTAGGAAGACTTAATGCCATGTCACATATTACAATTAGATCTAGCCAATCGGCACTCAACACGAGGAATATAAAAGCCCTCTACTCACCCTTCATTGTGTTTGCAGATACTGCCGCTATCATTTCCCTCCATCCTCCCCACCACCACCAGGTTGGCCCCGTCCATGCGGGGGTAGGCTCCACCCTGCCTTCGTCTTCGGCAGGAATAGCTAAATAAATACTTTTGAGTTTTATCTTCACCTCCTGAGTCTTTCTGGTTGAACTATCTTCACTTTTCCAAGCTTTCTCAAGTTCATACCCACTGGTGTCCATTTTATATTGCAAATGATATTGAATAATGCCTCTTGTGGTTTCTAGTGTATGTTCTCATGATATATCAGTTGTTTACACATGTGAATTGAGAAGAGAATAATGTGTATAATGTGGTTACAGTGATACTATGGTCGATGTGATAGATATTGGATATTCCCAATACAATTACTGCTCTAGCAACAGCATGGGTTGACAGTTTCATATCCATATTGCATTTAGAGTATAGACAGGAATATAGATATGATGGAAGCTTACAGGCTATAATATAATCCGGAGATTAAGTGGACCAAGAAAATGCTGTGATGTGATGTGATATGATTAGATTAAATAATTGGTAGGCCCAGACAGAATCAGTTTTTTTTGTTGTTGTTGTTTTTATCCATTGCACTGATTTTAAGGGAAAAGTCTGGTATAAACATGGGGAAATTTTTTTTTTAACAATACTAAATAAAAAAAACCCCACAAAGTTAGTGAATTCTATAAACGACAGCAGTCCCAAATTTGTATTTGCCTGCTACATGGTCTTAAATATAGCACAGTTATATATATATATACTGTATATATGCCACTTTTAGTCCTTGCATATGTGTCCGGTACAAACAGTTCAGCACATGTTGCTATAAAACTTATTCTTTTGCCTGCTTTGACCACTGGAGCATCTGTCCAAGGGTAAATGTCAATGGCAAATCCTTTATAATCTGAAAACTGTCTGGAAATAATCTGTCAGATTTAGTGACACTTCCTATAGATGGTTTGTTCTTGTTTAATCTCCTCCAAAGCTCATTTCAAGCAATGTAAAATAGAGCCCTGCAATGTGGAAGTAGTATTTTTCCATTTGGTTAAACCCAGATTTCATATTACATTTAAAAGTAGGTATTTAACATATATGTGATTAGAGTATTCACTTGCCAGAAAAGAAGCAGACATAATATAATATTAGCATTATTTGGATTCTATTCCTGATGTATTACAGTAAGTTTGAGTGGGACATATCATAAGCCTCATCTTTTATTTATTTAATTTATTTTAAATTAGCTGGTACGTTAAGCTAATATGATGCTAGTTTCTGGTCGTTTGAAGGTGGCTTTGGAGAGGGACATTATCATTTTGAGAATCTAATTAGACAAAGTTAATATTCAGTCATTAATAGTTTGCCCAATTTTTAGTTTTAACAAACACATAGTTGCCTGTAAAACAAAATGTAGCTGGGTCATTCTGTCAAATTAACCAAATTTCAGAAACTTCCCTGACTCAAATTTTTACAACGCAAACATTAATAGTGATGAAAACCAACATTTTAAAATGCCACTGAGGAATATTTACTATTTTGTATTAATTAATAATAATCCAGTAATTGTAATTTTGAAAAAATAGTCAAATGGCAATTTTCACCTGAGATTTGGAGCCAAATTACAGAGGGTAAAAATGACTTTTGAAAGACCATGGCTGCATCATTATTGTATTTTTACACAGAGATTGGCAGGGCTGTTAGTAAAATCAGTTGATGTAATACTGCTTACTTTATTAGCCAGTGGTGGCAGTTCAAAAACGGGAAAAAGCACATGGTTTTTCCAGAGTTTGTGTGCTTTAACTCAAAAAGTATTAGCAGTATGTCAATATTCTTTTAGAGACTGGTTCTTAACAAATGTATCATTTGGTCTCTTCATTTTTAAGGGCCTATATGGTTTAACAGAGATGTGGGAATTTCAATCTGGCTCCATGAGTAAATTAAGTTGTTCACAATTTTAGTGCTCAAAAACCAAATGTGGGTCACTTTGCTTACAGTGAAGTCTTTAATTTTAAAGAGGAATGTCTGATGAACAAATATTGTTTAAACTAGGAATGTATCTTGTTTCTCTCTATCAAAACAACTGCAAAGAACAGATGTTTGAGTGCTATAAATTGTTTCTTCCCAAAGTTTGCGTGTCTGTAATTTAAGAAGTATTAAAGATACTGTATCTCAATATCCTATGAGATTTTACTTCTTAAATTAGATTCTTGGATTCTGGTTCAAAGCCATTTCATATTTTGGCTTTATTGTTCATTTATTTATTTCTTTGACCAGAATTTTTTTTTTTACTTTTTAGCCTCTGAGGACCTCTGGTTGATTTGACATGGAATGGCCCAGTTCTTTTTATATGTTAATGATTTCTTATGCTAATATGATTGCAGATAACAGTAACCTTCAGTCATGATCCAATACTGTGTGAAATCATGGTTAATCTTCTTTTTTTATTTCTGCAGTCATTTCAGAAGCAATTTGTTAGTGAAGAAAACACAGTGACCTATTTATACACAAACATAAGGGCCTAAAATCGAACTGAGGGTTTTTTCTTTCTTGTCCGTGGTGTCAAACAACACTTAATCCCACTGGACAACTCTGAAATGCTGAGAGCCTCGTTCTCTCTTTGCAATCCATCTCGAGCTGGACGGTTTATCAACCCTCTGTGTGATCGATTTCTGCTTAATTACAACTCAGCAGCAAAGGACTGGAATCTAGTAACCAACCAGCTCTCTACCATAGAGAGGTATAAATGAAGAAGGCTAATCCACAACTTCAGTTTTTGGTGTTCAAAAAGAATATTAGCACATGGCAAATACTGTAAAGCAGCATGAAATATTAGTAGCATTATTGAATGTTTCACACAACCAAAAAAGGCTCATTTTGGCATGTCAGGGCCAACGGGGTAATTAATGCTGCATTCAGCAATTATGGCGGCTTGTTTTTGTGTAAACGTTTCACCCAGCAGATCTTTTATTGATGAAATGGCGGTCTTGCCAGAGGTCTCCTGGATGTCTTCCAGCTCCTTTCATTTACATACATACGACACATCCAATTACCAAATAGGGAACTCATCCATAAACGAGAGTAATAGCCCAACCAGACAGCCAGCCATTTCCATCGTCAGTCAGGGGCTGAGCTCATAAAGCGTTCTCAAAAAATCCTGAGTGCGCTTTTTAGATGAGTGTTTCTGATTACGAATATCATAATACTTATTTTGAGGAAATGATGGCAGACGATTACATTCATGCATTTGGCAGATGCATTTATCCAAAGAATTGAACCCATGACCTTGGTGTTGCTAGCGCATCAGTTTAGCTACAGAACTGGTTGGTCTTAAATATGGTCACAAACTAGATTTAAAAGGTTAGTTTTTCAGGAAGTATAATAATGTGAATTTTAATTGTATATTTCTGTCATTTAAGTATTTTTTATTTATTAAGTATATTTTAGTAGTATTTATATTCTATAATACCATTTTGTAATATTTTAAAATAGATTATATATCTTCCGTTTTCATTTTAATTTTAGTTTAAGTTTTTGTAATTATATATATATAGAGAGAGAGAGAGAGAGAGAGAGAGAGAGTATTAAATTATTGTTAACTTTAAATTGTAGTAATTTTAGTACTTGAACTTATTTTAGTTAGTTAAAATCAACATTTCATTTATGTTTTTAATTGTTATATTTTAAGTTTCAAATTTTTAAAATTTGTTTTATTTCAGCTTTATCTCAATTACTGAAATATTTGATTTCAAATAGTCTTTGTTTGTTAAAAACAACAAGACATAATATGGTAAATAATCAATTTTAACGGTAAAAATATATTTAGTGATCATGTTAATTATTTACTATTGTTTTTATAAAATAAAAATGTGTAATGTTAATTATGTATTTAATTATGTTAATTAATAATAATTATATTGATATTCAAATTGTTATATTTATAGTATTTATTACTATTATTAGTTAGTCATTAAGAATTATTATTGATATTCATTATTTACTATTATTATATCTATAAATAAATGTATTATCCAGTTTTCTAACTTGTAGGATCCATAAAATGTTTCTTATACATGTGTCTCTGTAAAACAGAATTTGAAGAAGAAGCACTTCATTGTCATTTATAATCTTTAATTGCCTTTATTGGTTAATGCTTTCAAAGGTCATGCAGACTCTTCTGTTCCAAAGGCATTAAATAAACTCTTTGTCCATTGTATGTCGTCTAGGTTCTACTGGGACCTGATCATGCTCCTGTTGATGGTGGGCAACCTGATCATCATCCCCGTCGGCATCACCTTCTTTAAAGATGAACACACCCCCGCCTGGATAGTCTTTAACGTGGTCTCTGACACATTCTTCCTGGTTGACCTGGTGCTGAACTTCCGCACGGGGATCGTCAAAGAAGACAGCACAGAAATCATCCTGGACCCTCAGCAGATCAAGGTGAAGTATCTTCGGAGCTGGTTCGCTGTAGATTTCATCTCCTCCATCCCTGTGGATTACATCTTCCTCATTGTGGAGACACGCATCGACTCGGACTTCTACAAGACGGCACGAGCTTTGAGGATTGTGCGTTTCACTAAAATACTCAGTCTGCTTCGGCTGTTGAGATTGTCCAGACTCATTAGATACATCCACCAATGGGAGGAGGTAAGATGCACCTCTTAGATTGTAATATATCTATCACAAATAACACCGTTTTTTGTTGGCTTGTGAATGTTGAAAAGAAAATGAACTGTGATATGAACCTTGTTTGATATTCCTGTACCAATAATGGAGCTGCCCATGGTTTCTTTTGGTGGTCCTGAAGCAATATTTCTGTCAAACAAATATACTCATTCCTCATAACCACAATTCTAACCGTAATATAAACCATTCAATTAATATTTCTGACTTAAAATGAAAATTCTGCCATCATTTACTCACCCTTGTGTTGTTTCAGAAATTGCTGAGGAATGGGGATTTGGGCTGTTGTAGTCTAAAATGAAAAAAAAAAAATGTATATATATATATATATATAAAAGTACTATAGAAGTAAGAAATTGCTTATTTAATGATATACACTAATGTTAAAAAAGTTTGGGTTAGTAGAATTTTAATGCTTTTATTCAGCAAGGATGCACTCAATTGACCAAAAGTGACATTAAAGACATTTATAATGCTACAAAAGATTTCTATTTCAAATAAATGCTGTTCTTTTGAACGTTCTGTTAATCAAAGAATCCGCAGCAAAACAGCAACAGCAAAAATCATTTTCAAAATTGATAATATTAATGTTTCTTTAAGCAAATCTGCTTATTAGAGTGATTTCTGAAGGATCATGTGACACTGAAGACTAGAGTAATGATGCTTTGTAATCACAAGAATAAATTACATTTTAAAATGTATTAAAATAGAAACAGTTATTTAAAAATTTAACAATATTTCACAATATTGCCATTTTTACTGGTGAACATAAAAGACAATGTGGCACCTTTATGTTTGAAACAACCTCAAATAAATGTACAAGTTGGCAGAAATTTCATTTTGGATGGACTGTTCTTTTAATTACCTCTAAAATCATAGGGAAATGATTGGTAACAGATAACAGTGAGGATGTTCTAGGACCAACAATGGAGCTGATCCAAGAACACATCCTACTTGTTAAAATCGCGGTCAGCAATAATAGACAGCAGGCCACATTAACTTCACAGTCGTATCTGAAACTCGGCGAATGCTTTGCCATCATGTGGATTTCATTTTAGCTCTGCCAAAGAATAGCAGCTTCTAAATCAAGCAGCAATTAGCCACAATTACAGGCAGCAATGTGTTACTCAACCTAACCATTGTTTGTCCATGGCAAAGTTAAAAGCGTGCACCATGACCCTTTAATTGCTTCGATCCCTCAACCTTGCCAGTTAATGGAAATCTATTGGAATCCGCACTTTAATTACTGCTATTTGGGAACGCTGCCTTTTTGTCCACTGCAGGGGGGGGGGGGGGGGGCGGTAACATCAGCCTCTCGTTTGGCCTCCCACTGATCTCCTAGGAACTATTAGTTACATTAGCAGAAAAGATACAGTACCTTATGTAATACTCCACAAGCCCAGCGTTGTGCTTCTAAAAACCAGCTTAAGGACAATGTGGCCTAGAACTGAGTGAGGATTAAATCTTAATTGTGACCCAATGCGGCATATTCCAGTTCACATCTCTGACCGCTTTTCCTTTTAGATTTTTCACATGACCTATGACCTGGCTAGTGCCATGGTGCGCATTGTGAATCTCATTGGAATGATGTTGTTGCTGTGCCACTGGGACGGATGCTTGCAGTTCCTGGTGCCCATGCTGCAGGATTTCCCTTCAGACTGCTGGGTGGCCAAAAACAAAATGGTGGTAAGTTTGAGGGGCCAACCCGTGTCTGTTTTCTCTTTATTTTCCATTGGCACAGCTCCCAATGATTTATTAATCCCAACATCCACATTTTCAGGTTATTCTGAAAAAATAAATACATTTTAAAAAAATTAAAAAAATTTGTTTAAAAAAATAAATAAATTATTATTATTTTTATATATATATATATATATATATATATATATGTATATATGTATATATATATAAATGCAGCAAGATAGAATAGCTGTTTATACTGCTGCAAAACAGTGTGTGACCCAGATGGAACATTTTGAATTATAGAAAGCTGTTTCCACCTCAGAGTTATATAAAGTTAATAAAAGTTCAAAGAAATAGTCACAATTGTAAAATATAAAGTCCAATTGCAAGATATGAATTGCAATTATGACACCATTAAGTGACAATCAGGGTTTAAATTGGGCCGGGGCCGTCCGGGGCCCCTGGCACATAGACTCCGGGGCTCAACATTAACGTTTCATTAACGCCAGACAAGTAAGCATGCTGAGGTAAAAATTTAAAATTAAAAGTTTTATATTTAAAATACAGTTAGTTAGGCAACATCACACAACGTTTTCACCATTACGACTGTTTAATAGTTCAATAAACAGTAATACAATAATATTAGGTTACTTACATATTAGGCGGAACCACAGCGTATCTCACTCACAGCAACCAGCCGATTCATTGCTGAATGATTTCGTGTTCTGAACGAATCGGTTGATTCAAAGTTTCATTAGCCCATGAATATAATCAGCCATTTGAACGAATCGCTTGAATGAACAACTCAGTGACTCACTCATTAAACGCTCACTACTGGCATCTAGTTGCAGTTTTGAGATGTTAAGTCAAATGGCAAGATATAAAGTCACATTGCAAGATAAAAAGCCAGATTATGACATATACAATCAGATTTTGCGATATAAAACCACACTGAAATATAAAGTTGCAAATACAAGAAACAAAAGTCACAATTACAAGTAGCAAAGTTACAATCGCAAGTCACATTGTAAAGTATAGAATCACATTGTAAAGTATAGAATCACAATTGGGAGATATAAAGTCAGAGTTAAAAGAAATATATATATATACTGTAATTTTGAGATATAAAGTCAATTTCCGAGGTATAAAGTCAAATTGTGAGATATAAAGTCACAATTATAAGTACCAAAGACAGAAGACACAATTGAGAAATATAAAGTCAAATTGCAAGATAAAAAGCCACATTATGAAATATGAAGTCAGAAATTTGAGAAATGAAGTGGCAATTATCAGATTAAAAAGTCAGATTATGCAATATAGGGTTACATTGTGAAATATAAAGTCACAAGTATGAAAAAACAATGTTGCATTTACAGAAACAAAAGTTATGAGAAACACGAGTTACGACTGCAAGATAAAAAGTCATATTATGAAATATAAAGTCACAACTGGGCAATACAAAGTCGTAAATTAAAAGAAAAGTTGCAGTTTTGAGATATAAAGTGAATTGTCACAATATAAAGCTGCTTTGTAAAATATAAAGTTGAAATGACAAGAAACGAAGTCGAAATTATGAGAAACAAATTTGTGATGATAAGAAATAGCGTTGTAATTATGAAAAATAGTCAAATTGTAAGATAGAAAGCCACTTTGTAAAATATAAAGTCAGAATTATGATAAACAAGGATATAATTACAGTCAGTTACTATAAACAACGGCACAATTGTGACATATCAAGTCGTAATTACTTTTCTTTTTTTTTACTCTGAGACTGAAACTGGCAACCATATTGAACTGATATTGTTAAAAGTAATATTTTTGACTGAAATTAGGCCAGCTGCATCATATCCTGGACCAGCATGATAAGTATTTGGCCCAAAAGTGCCAGACCGAGTGACTCATTTTGCTAAAAGACGAACACTGTCCATGACTATGCTTCATTAGAATTTGTAAAACAATACCTACTGCTTTCCTCCATCTTCTCATATCAGGAAAGCACATGCAGCGTTCGTAATGACCCTCCTGTTAAAGGACGTGATATTTCCCTTTCTCTCTCTCTCTGGCCTTTACTCCGGCTCCTGTCAGAAATATATTGAAACACTGTCACTTTTTTTCCAGTCTAGCACTCTCTCGCGCTCTTTCTCTCACATTCTGTCATTCGCGATGCTATTTTCTCTCCTCTCGCTCTCTTTGGTCCGTACCTTTGTCCCTTCACAACACATTTTGTCCCTCTTTCACCATCTCTCCTATTTCTTTTGCTCTCTATCACAATTGCCGTCTTTCATGCTCATAATTACATTCATGCTTTAATTTGGATTCTGCTTTCTCTTTATCTCTTCTGCGCTCTCTCTTTCCGTGCATCCCTGTCTTTCTCTCTGTCCTCACAGAATGACACATGGGGTCAGCAGTACTCTTACGCCCTGTTTAAGGCCATGAGCCACATGCTGTGTATCGGGTATGGCATGTACCCTCCTGTGGGCATGACGGATGTGTGGCTGACCATCCTCAGCATGATCGTGGGTGCAACCTGCTATGCCATGTTTGTGGGCCACGCCACCGCCCTCATTCAATCACTGGACTCCTCACGCAGGCAGTACCAGGAGAAGGTTAGTGAAAAAAAAAGGAGGTGAGGAAATCAGTTGGGTCTGAGAGGCTAAAGTGTGGATATTCGCATGCATTGTGATGTAAAAACAATTGTTTTGTGTTTTATTACAGAATAATCTAATGTAAGGGAACTTGGGGCAATTTGTTCACTCATAATTAAGCTAATGATGATACATACTCTGCTCAGTCAAATTTGTGCTTTATTATTTTGGGATGTCTGAAATGTTAATGCCTTTGGAACCCACTTCATATCGATCTTATTTGTTGGTTAAAAGTTGCTAATACTGTTGCTGGAAGCTACCATTTTATCATGGCTCTGAAGTCAGGGACCATTGTGACAGTATTTATAATTACTAGTTCATAGTTATGAAGTAAAAATAAAATAAAGAAATAATTATGACAAAGAAAAAAAAATACACGTAATATTGATAATCTTAAAGTATAATATTTAGTAATATTATATGTTGTTAAATAATTTATTACTAATTAATATTCAACTGCATAAATTATACATGAATATTAATTATATAATTTTTCATTTGTATATGTGCACATATTTGCATATAAAAGTAGCATAATTTAATATATAAAGTATAATTGGGGCTGATAATATTTTTTTGTATTTTTTTAAATATTTCTAATCAAAAATACAATAAAAAGAGTAATACTGTAAAATATTATAACAATTTAAAGTAACTGATTTCCAATTTAATATGTTTTAAAATGTAATTGATTCCTGTGATTGAAAATTTTAAATTTACGGAACCCATTAATCCAGTCTTCAATGTCTCATGATCCTTCAGAAATCATTATAATTTGAAATATTTCTTATTATTATCAATGTAAAAAAAAATTTGTTTTGCCTAATATTTTTGTGGAAACCATAATAAAAAATGTTTTCAGGATTTTTTGATGAATAGAAAGTTATGTTGATATAAATATTTTAATTTAATTAATTTTTAAAATATTATAATATAATGAACCCTGCTTAATAAAAGTATTAATTTATATTAAAAATATCTTACTAACCCCAAACTTTCAAAAGGTAGTGTGTATTATATTATATTATATTATATTATATTATATTATATTATATTATATTATATTATATTATATTGATGGTGCATTTCAATTTCAAACATTTAACTGTTTATTAAACTAAATGATGACAGGTAGGTTAATAGTAGTTAAAATGTTACAACTGTCTTCTATATTCCCTTTATAGCTAATAGAAAATATATACTAATGGAAAACCCCCAAAAATAGAATCTTCATTGGCAAGCCAGCAATTAAGGCAAAGATCATTTTAATGAGGGTGGGCAGCTGCCGTTTCCCACTTTGTTGAGCATTGTAAAGAATTCCCAGCAGACGGGATTTCTTCACTCCGAGATCCGAGAACGCCTTTGAAGTCCCGTTTAAAAATAGAAAAACCAGGGACAGACGAGCAGACGAGTGGAGAGAAAAATGGAAAACTACGAGGGTTCGCGAGTTGAGCGAGTCGTGGAGTTTTCTGACCTCTGCGGTGATCGATGCGCGGTTTTATCGTGTCTGTAAGTGTGCTGGAGTGGTAATTGAACTGTTGTCATTTTCTATGAGAAGAAAATACAAGTGCTTTGACCTCTGCTGTGTTAAAAGATTCAAGTCAATTCAGCTCGACTGCGGTTGTCGTGGCAACTTTCATTGTTGATACAGAAGCGCGTATTGATGTGAGGTTTCCTCCTTTTTCCTCTAAAAACGATGCGGTGTTTGGAGCAAGTGTTTTGTTTTCTCGAAAGCTGAATGCATGAAGGCCAACGCTTTTGATTATGGTTTCACAGTACATAATTTACAGTTCCTCTCCACATCTGTTCGAGAGGGTTTTGAAGACACAAACACAAGGAGAGAGAGAGAGAGAGAGAGGAAGATTTGTTTAGGGAGAGTTCAACAGGGATAAAAATGTCTGAAGTTGTCAATTTGTCCTGTTAACTTAGCTGCCGATTTCATCACCTGCTGTATTTGGGCTTCCACACCACTCTCCCCAGTGTCAATGCGATTACCAGCATCCATTTCCAGAAAAAGGACGAATTCCAATGACACACTTTTTTCACGACACCATGAGTCATGCTTGCCTTACACTGGCATTTCAGCGAGCGACTTCACACCCTCGCCGGGCTCCGCAGTTGTAACCTAACTGTATAGCGTGACATTATTTCCTGTTGTTTGAACTCTTCCTGCTGGCTTTGTCCCCTGCCCTTGAATATGATAATAGAAGAGCCACTCGGAGAGACCGAGGAGATGTTCACAGCTGACATGGCAGGAACATTAGCATGTGGTGAAGGGCACATTGGAACCAGCTACCGTCGGCATCCGAGACAAGAGTTCATGGAAGCGGGAGAGAGAAAGCAAAATGGCTAGTGACAGAACAAAGTTTATTAGAATGGACAGCAAAGGTGTAACGTCGCCGAGCCGCAGTGCCACAGACGCTCTCTGTCGGTTTCGAAGACACGAATGAAATAACAAAGAGACAGTACAAGGGGATCGTGGGTAAAATAAACCCTATCAATACTGTACGTCCTTCCTTGAAGTGAAAGAGACAGGCTTGGAGAGTGGGACAAACAGAAAGATAATGATAAATGAGGAGATGGCCACTGATGTGAAAATACTGCCGAGCTTTGCAAATGGAGCCTGGGAAGGCTGCCGTTAATATGGAGCCGGACAGTTACACTGACCGAGCTATTGTTTTGCAGGACATTTAGTCAATATTTATTTATCTGTAGCTGTGTAGTTAGAAACAACACCTCAGGGTCTACAGACGGTTTAAAGCCTATTCACACCTAATCATAAAATCATACAAATCATGACAAGACTTTAAAAAAGACAATAGATTACTAAGAGTTTTTTGTTCCAAGTACAAAAATATTGGACTGTGATCCTTTAAAAAAAGAAGTGACGGTACCATTGTAAGGTGATGGTATCATATGGTAATATCACAGTACTTTGTTATATACTACGGTAATGAATAATTACCATATTTGTACAATTGTGCATATGCAAATGATTATATGATGTTAGAAACGTGCCATTGTTATTTGGTTTCATATTTGATCCCACTAGGGTCTTTAAAAAATGGTTTCAAATGATTATAGAAATTATAGATCATTAGCATTTCTGTCCACATTCCTCTAGAATTAGTTTGACTATTGTTGCTGAACGTGTAGATAAATGTGACCCTGGACCACAAAACCAGTCTTAAGTCGCTTGGGTATATTTTTATCAATAGCCAAAAAAAACATTGTATGGGTCAAAATTATCGATTTTTATTTTATGCCAAAAATCATTAGGATATTAAAGGGATAGTTTAATGAAAATTCTGTCATTAATTACTCACCCTCATGTTGTTCCAAACCCGTAAGACCTACGTTTATCTTCAGAACACAAATTAAGATATATTTGATGGAATATGACAGCTCTCTGACCCTCCCATAGACAGCAAGGATCCTAACACGATCAAGGCCCAGAAACGTAGCAAGGAGATCGGTAAAATAATCCATGTGACATCAGGGGTTCAACCGTAATTTTACGAAGCTACGAGAATACTTTTTGAGCACAAAAGAAGAAAAAAAGTCTTTATTCATCTATTTGTCTTCTCCGCATCACCCTAGCGCCATTTTGGAGAGTATCCACTGAACGTAAATTGCGTATGCTGTTTTGTGTCAGCTGTGCCACGTGGATACACTTTGATTAGAACGAAAACAACATATCCGCGTGGTGCAGCTGACACAAAACAGCATACACGATTTACATTCAGTGGATATATACAAAATGGCGCTACAGGGTGACGCGGAGGAGACGAATTGTTGAATAAAGTCTTTTTTCTTTTTTCTTTTGCACACAAAAAGTATTCTCGTAGCTTCATAAAATGACAGTTGAGCCCCTGATGTCACATGGATTATTTTACCGATCTCCTTGCTATGTTTCTGGGCCTTGATCGTGTTAGGACCCTTGCGGTCTATGGGAGGGTCAGAGAGCTCTCGGATTTCATCAAAAATATCTTCATTTGTGTTCCGAAGATGAACGAAGGTCTTACAGGTTTGGAACAACATGAGGCTGAGTAATTAATGACAGAATTTTTATTTTTGGGTGAACTATCCCTTTAAGTAAAGATCATGTTCCATTAAGATATTTTGTAAATTTCCTACCGTAAATATATCAAAACTTAATTTTTGATTAATAATATGCATTGCTAAGAACTTCATTTGGACAACTTTAAAGGTGATTTTTTTTTGCACCCTCAGATTCCAGATTTTCAAATAGATGTATCTCAGCCAAATATTGTATTTATTCAGCTTTCAGATGATGTATAAATCTCAATTTTAAAAAATTGATCCTTATGACTGGTTTTGTGGTCCAGGGTCACAAATATGTAATATACAGGTTGATAATATAGTGTATATGTCATTTGTACAGTACAAGCAGGTGGAGCAGTACATGTCGTTCCACAAACTTCCTGCAGACATGCGGCAGAGGATTCATGATTACTATGAGCATCGCTATCAGGGGAAGATGTTCGATGAGGAGAGCATTCTGGGAGAACTGAACGAACCACTCAGAGAGGTTAGTAGTAATGTAACGCTCTGTAAATCCACTTTCTGACAGCAGGTGGTGCTTATGGAACATTAGAATTAGTGTTGTTTCAGTCATCTCCGTGGACAAAGCAGCATTGCTACTTTATTAGGTATTACATAGAGCGAAGATGAAAACAAAATGCCATCAAATCTTTTCTGAAGATAATCAGAACCTTCCGATGTACATTTATATAATCAATTCATTCATATATTCCTTTGTATAATTCCCTTAGCACTCTATTAAAGGGGTCATATGATGTTGCTAAAAAGATCATTATTTTGTGTATTTGGTGTAATGAAATGTGTTTATGCGGTTTAAGGTTCAAAAAACACATTATTTTCCACATACTGTACATTATTGTTTCTCCTCTATGCCCCGCCTTTCTGAAACGCGTCGATTTTTACAAAGCTCATCGTTCTGAAAAGCGAGGTGTGCTCTGATTGGCCAGCTATCCTGTGTGTTGTGATTGGCCGAATACCTCAAGCATGTGACAGAAATGTTACACCCCTTACCATACTGTGATGCCGTGTCCCGGATGATGACTTATACGGTCTTTTTACACATTGCGTTGCATCGAGCCGCGTAAACATAAAACCATGTCTGCATTTGTGATCTGAGAAATGACGAACAACAAGCGCTAATCTACACTGCTCAAAACTCGCGTTTGAATCGTCAGTGGCAAATTCTTTAAATATAAAAAATGTACTTACAGTCCGTGAGTCAGAACAGCCGGCATTGTAGTCTACTCTCCCAGGATCAGGAAACAGTCCTCCATAAAATGTGCTGCACACATCTGAATTTTTGGGTTGAACTGTTCTGGAACAGTGTTGTAAATACAACTTAACCACTGATTATTAGTCGTGTTCTCCTTTGGAAAGCAAAACAAAGTAATTTTCACTTTCACTAAACAAAACACACAGCGTCTTCACAACATGGCGGCGGCGGCAGCAACAATAAAGTTACGCCTTCTTTCTTTGCGTGAACATTTGGGTGGCGTTATGCAAATCTTCCCACACAGTGACGTAGACATGTGGGGGCGTGTTTAATTGAGGAGTTTTTGGAGGGCGTGGACCAGTCTTAACTTTTATAAAGAATATCTCTTTGGGTTTGAGACTTTAGTCTTGGCAACTTTAGGGATCTTACCTATTCACGAACAGCTTGTAACACTCCAAAGAGAAAGGAAAACTTGAAATCGCATCATATGACCCCTTTAAAATCTCTCAGCTTTTCAGTCATGTTTTCACACAAAACAAAATTACTCTGGGTGCTGTGCACACGTGAAACTGTTACTTAAAACTGTGCTTTATGCTGGATAGTAGTTATTTATCCTCAACTGTTCAAATCCCAGTAATCAAATACAGTTTTAATGATAGTTAAAATATGAATTGGTAATACTAACCGTGGGGAATTTTATCATGATTTATCGTCAAACCGGTAATCGTTCCATCCCTAGTAGTAACATATAAGCCAGTTAGTGTATACTTTCATTGCATAGCTTGTATTCTAGTATTGAACAGTTCTATACACTTATGTTGACGTTCTTTGTTTACAGGAAATCATCAGTTTTAACTGCCGAAAGCTTGTGGCTTCCATGCCGTTGTTCGCCAACGCAGATCCCAACTTTGTGACCTCCATGCTCACCAAGTTACGTTTCGAGGTGTTCCAGCCAAGAGATTACATTATCAAAGAGGGGACCGTTGGCAAGAAGATGTATTTCATCCAACACGGTGTACTAACTGTTCTGACAAAGGGCAGCAAAGAGACAAAGATCTCGGATGGGTCTTACTTTGGAGGTAAGAAAACACTGATATTGTTGGATTGGATAGTTTGATGCAAGTTTCATTTGATTCTTTTTTTTATTCTGTAAGGCAGATTCTTTTAGAAGCTAATGCGGATGAATTGGCATTTAAGTTGCAGCAAATAAGTTTGTGTTTTTATTAGAGAGGTTTTATGTGCTTAATGTTCAGACTGGTACCACCATGTTCTTCAGTGTTATCGGCTGGTTCTCCCAGGGAACCAAATCAGTGAATGGCCACGCTTTAGGAGCCTGGGGAAATTCCTCACCCAGCATAAGTTAACCATTCATGAAATTAATTTCCCTCACAAGATTGAGGAAGGAGGGGAACATAACAGTTTGAGCTGAGCCTTGTCATCAGAGGCTTTCACTGCAGTTTTTCTCATTACCATTGTTCGAATCCACATAGATTTATTCTTTTTTTTTGTCTTGTACATTTTCTGTTTTTAATTTTGGCATTTATGATGACATCATTTATATGTTGTCCATTATTAAATGCCTTTTAAATTGCAAAAATACAATTTCTTCACATTACAGTTTACCTTGTATGCAAATAGGGAGTCTACCAAACAGATCAACACGCTCTATTTCCTGAAGAAAATGAGGGTGATGCAAATATTTTGAAATAAATTATACACCACCTGGTCTCCGAATGCAAGCTAGCCTCTTTCCTGGCGTTCTGTGCCATTATAAACTCTATTACTGTCTCCTGTGCGGTTCTGGGATCACAACTAAGTAGTTTGTGCTATCAGTGAGCTGCAGATTTAGTCAAGAAAAAAAATGTCATCATATTTTCCAAAAAACCCCTTTCCTTCTGCCCAGGCTTGTTTGAGGTCATTACATGTTCAACAAGCCGCTCATAATCTCTTTTCCCATAAACCCTGTGTGAAAGTGCAGAAAAGAGGAGAAGGCTGGATTCTGGCCTAGTACTGAGCTCACCCAGTCCCCATATGTCATCTGTTCTTTCTCTTGTCTTTCTGTTTAAGTTGAGAATACAATACTAGTACTACACACTGCAAAGTATACAGTATGCTGTATACTGTCCACTATTTTCCTATTTTTAAAAAAATAGAATGCGCACAAAATTTTATATAATGCCTTTCAAAATCTGAGGTCAGTAGGATTTATTTTTAAAGAAGCAAGGATGCATTAAATTGATCAAAAGTTACAACAAAGACAGTCATTTATGTTTCAAATAAATTTTCTTGCTCTTCTTCTGAACTGTGTATTCATCAGAGAATCTTGAAAAAATGTTTTACAGTTTCCACAAAAATATTAAGCAGCAAAATTGTTTTCAGCATTGATAAACTACTACACATTGATAAACTGCTAATCATCATATCAGACTGATTTCCGAAGGATTATGTGACACTGAAGACTAGAGTAATGATGCTGAAAATTCAGCTTTGCCATCACAGGAATAAAAATACATTTTAAATTATACTTAAATGTTTTTATATTAATAATATTTCACGATATTACAGTTTTTGCTGTATTGTTGATCAAGTAAATGCAGTCTTGGTGAGCATAAGAGACTTCTTTCAAAAACATTTAAAAATCTTACCATACCAAAACTTTTGAACAGTAGTGTGTATAATTTATTTATTTGCATTTTTAATTCAGTTATTCCAATTACTACAGGTGCATCTCAATAAATTAGAATGTCGTGGAAAAGTTAATTTCTTTCAGTAATTCAACTCAAATTGTGAAACTCGTGTATTAAATAAATTCAATGCACACAGCCTGAAGTAGTTTAAGTCTTTGGTCCTTTTAATTGTGATGATTTTGGCTCACATTTAACAAAAACCCACCAATTCACTATCTCAACAAATTAGAATATGATGACATGCCAATCAGCTAATCAACTCAAAACACCTGCAAAGGTTTCCTGAGCCTTCAAAATGGTCTCTCAGTTTGGTTCACTAGGCTACACAATCATGGGGAAGACTGCTGATCTGACAGTTGTCCAGAAGACAATCATTGACACCCTTCACAAGGAGGGTAAGCCACAAACATTCATTGCCAAAGAAGCGGGCTGTTCACAGAGTGCTGTATCCAAGCATGTTAACACAAAGTTGAGTGGAAGGAAAAAGTGTGAAAGAAAAAGATGCACAACCAACCGAGAGAACAGCAGCCTTATGAGGATTGTCAAGCAAAATCAATTCAAGAATTTGAGTGAACTTCACAAGGAATGGACTGAGGCTGGGGCCAAGGCATCAAGAGCCACAACACACAGACGTGTCAAGGAATTTTCTTACCTGGGAAGAAGAACTGGACTGTTGCCCAGTGGTCCAAAGTCCTCTTTTCAGATGAGAGCAAGTTTTGTATTTCAGTATTTCATCAAGGTCCTAGAGTCTGGAGGAAGGGTGGAGAAGCTCATAGAGAATCTATGGGGTATTGTCAAGAGGAAAATGAGAAACAAGAGACCAAAAAATGCAGATGAGCCGAAGGCCACTGTCAAAGAAACCTGGCCATCCATACCACCTCAGCAGTGCCACAAACTGATCACCTCCATGCCACGCCGAATTGAGGCAGTAATTAAAGCAAAAGGAGCCCTTACCAAGTATTGAGTACATGTACAGTAAATGAACATACTTTCCAGAAGGCCAACAATTCACTAAAAATGTTTTTTTATTGGTATTATGAAGTATTCTAATTTGTTGAGATAGTGAATTGGTGGGTTTTTGTTAAATGTGAGCCAAAATCATCACAATTAAAAGAACCAAAGACTTAAACTACTTCAGTCTGTGTGCATTGAATTTATTTAATACACAAGTTTCACAATTTTAGTTGAATTACTGAAACAAATGAACTTTTCCAAGACATTCTAATTTATTGAGATGCACCTGTATGTATATAATTAATTTTAAAGAAATTTGTATGTGTAATCAAATAATCAATTGAGAAGGAAACCACAGCAGATATCTCATGGCACTATATGATTGCTATACTTTTATACACCATGAAATATGAATATGAGATTCATATGTAATGGTATATGAAAGAATAGCAATGGAAAGCCTCAAAAACATTGGTATCACTGTGGTAATGTGTTCAAAACCATGTTGTCTTTGCATTTTTATGCACCATGTCATTGATTCTTTATTTGTATTTCTCCATTTTCCCCGACCCTCACACCACCCTTCTCCCCCCTTTCCACCTCAGGATGTGTGCTAGTGAGTGTGTGTGCTCTGATGGAGTGGCTCTTGGCAGCATGTTCTTTATGACTCTGGCCATGACGACTAGACAGAGAGAAAAAAGAGAATGAGAATAATCTCTACAGCTTCCTCTACCCCTCTGTCTTACCCAAACAACACCACTTTATCTTTCAGGTTCTTGAAGGTCCAAAAGCACCTTGTTTATCCCCATAGTATTCTTGTTTTTCAGTACCCATCATTAATATCAGCTGCACACATGCAAGCATGAAAAAATATCTTAGTAATTTCAAAAGCGTTATAAGCTGTTATTATTAGAATACAACATTTAAAGACTATCACACTACCAACGTTCTACTGTTTAAGATGGCTATTTCATTGATCGGTTAGGTAGTAAGAACATTTATTTAAAGGGATAGTTCACCCAAAAATTAATTAATTGCTCACCCTCTTGTCGTTCCAAACCTTCGTTTATCTTCGAAACACAAATTAAGTTATTTTTGAAGAAATCTGAGAGCCTTCTGATCCTTCATAGCAACGCAACTGACACGTTCAAGTCCCAGAAAGGTAGTAAGAACATCGTTAAAATATTTCACGTGACATCAGTGGTTCAATTGTAATTCCACTACGAGGATCATTTTTGTGCAAATAGAAAACAAAAATTTCTTCTCTTCCATGTCAGTCTTTGATGCTCATTCACGTGAGTATCACGACGCACGCACGCACAAAAATTATTCTTGTAGCGTCATAAAATTATGACTGAACCACTTTTGTCACATGGAATATTTTAACAATGGCCTTACTACCTTTCTGGGCCTTAAACGTGTCAGTTGTGTTGTTGTCTATGCAGGATCAGAAAGCTCCTAAATTTCATCAAAAAATATTTTAAGTTGTGTTCTGAAGATGAACGAAGGGCTTACGGGTTTGGAACAACATGAGGGTGAGTAATTAATGACAGAATTTTCATTTTTGGGTGAACTATCCCTTTAAATAAATGTCTGACTACCTAACCGATCAATGAAATAGTTGTCTTGAGCAGTAAAACTTTGTTTCTGTGACAGTCTGACAGCCTAAATGAACCTGAGCACATGTGTTATCCAATCAGAATCAGTTTCGATCAGAATATATTTTGAATTAGGTTTATTAATAAGTAATTGTCATTGCTTGTTGTAAGACATTACGAGATTTATGTTTAAAACAAGGAAAAAACTGTGATCTAGTTTATGCAATTCAGTGGTGAAGCTTTGTGGGAGTTGTCAAACAATGCGTAGCAGCTTTAACTGTACAATTTCCATAAAGTTGTACAGAGAATCACGCAAATTCACTTCTTTAGCTTTTAAAAATGGTATGAACTAGTCAGTGAACTTTTGGGGGAAACAGTAAAACTGTATTTCTTAGGTGCGAAGGCGAGATACTGACTGAGAACACCCAATTACCACATTAGTGTTGACAGTCCCTTGTGTCCTCTCCTCAAACCTCCTGCTTGTCTGTCGCTTATAAATTTCCTCTGTATTTGAGATAGAGCTTTTACTCTGTGATCTGACTGGACAGATGATGGCTGAGTACAACTCGAAGCTGTCAAAATGGTATTTTAAAGACCATTCAAAAAAGCAGCCTCAAAGTATATAAAGTCTGAGTCACTGCATTTACAGCAAGTATATTTAATTCATGGTTCCCACTATTGTGAATTTATGCACATATTAATAGTGCTGGAGTGCTCTAAATTTAGGCTGAAGAAACATTTATGTTTAATGCTCAGTTAGGGGCTGGATACTAGGGTATACCCATTCATACATTCATTTATTTACTCTTCATTCTATTATTTATATACATAAAAGTACATATATATATATATAGTTCAGTCATGAAACTCTAGATGGCGCATTCTGACAGGGTGTTAATGTAACTGATGATATTCAGAGAGTTAAATGACTTGGCACAAGCTGATTGGTTCATGCTGCATATGCAGCCAATGAGCTTACTGCCTTGCATTTATATGGCTGGCTAGCATTCACTTGAGATTCCTGCAGCGCGCTTTCAGAGTTCTCTGAAACCCTCCACCTTCCCCAGCTCCACCTGTATAGATCTGCTACAGAGTTATTTTATATGCTATTTGTGCAGCAGCAGTATGTCTTAAATACTCATGGCACCGTATTGCCATATACAGTACATAGTAGCAAGTTCCTGTACTTGCTTGCCGCAGCAGCAATAATCTACAACTACAGCAATAACCAAAAGCAGCAGCGTAGCAGATCTGTTCCGCCAAGACCAAATACATTAACATTGTCATATCCATCACCATGCTAAAAAGTTCAGAGAGTTGTCATGATTGAAATATATATACTTGTAAAATTGTTCTTTCCGCATGGTTGCTTTTACAAGAAGAGTAGGATACATGTTCTTCCCATGTGGCTTTCAATTTGCTCATGTTGCAAAACGTCCACAGAGATCTGTTTGCTGACTCGAGGCAGAAGAACAGCCAGCGTAAGAGCAGACACATACTGTCGTCTGTACTCCCTCTCTGTGGACCATTTCAATGAGGTGTTGGAGGAGTACCCCATGATGCGACGCGCCTTTGAGACCGTAGCCCTCGATCGGCTTGACCGCATAGGTGAGAGCTGTCAGTTAAATAGGCCTATGTTTTTTATGTCCTTTAAGAGTGGAGAGTTTAATAAGCGGTCGCATCTTGTCCTTTGCTTTTATTGTAATTTTTTCAGTCTGAAATCAACATGAATTGCAGTTTGCAACTTTCATAATTTTTGCTTTCATAATGTGATGTTGATAATTGAAACAGTATATTTTATAAGAAAATTGTGTCTATTGACTAACTTTCATCACACAACTCCTGTGAAAAAATTTAAATTACCCCATGATTTACTCACCCTCTAGCCATCCTAGGTGTATACAGTATGACTTTCTTCTTTCAGACAAAGTCGGAGTTATATTAAAAAATGTCCTGGCTCTTCCAAGCTTTATAATTGCAGTGAATGTGGGTTGAGATTTTGAAGCTCAAAAAAGTGCATCAATCCATCATGAAACGTGCTCCACACAGCTCCGTAGGGTTAATAAAGGCCTTCTGAATTGTTTTATTAACTAAATTATTTTGTGTAAGAAAAATATCCATATTTAACATTTTTGGGTGGGCTATCCCTTTCAGTCAGGGGTGTCCAAACCTGCTCCTGGAGGGCCACTTTCCTGCAGCGTTTAGCTCCAGCACACCCACCTGGAAGTTTCTAACGACCCTAAAGCCACTGATTGGCTCATTCAGGTGTGTTTCATTAGATTTGGGGCTACAATTTGCTGGAAGGTGGCTTTCCTGGAGCAGGAATGAACACCCCCTGCTGAAGTGATGTCCATGGAAAAGGAAAGTAGCAGGATGCGCAGATATATAGTTCACAATAAGACATATAGTTCACAATAAGACAGTAAATTTGGTCAGTTTTGATTTCATGTTGATAATGCATGTAAGGATATTATTTGAATAATTTAAATAATATTTGTTTAATAGCATCATTTAAAATCGAATAAACATGTACATTTTCCCAGCCTTACATGTTGACATGTTTAAAGCTTAAATCAAAATACATTCTTGAGTTTATTATCCATGCATTTCTGTCTTCTTTTTATGTCCTCAGGAAAACAGAACTCTGTACTCCAGCACAAGGTCCAACGGGATCTCAATTCCGGAGTTCTGAACTACCAAGAAAATGAGATCATCCAGCAGATTGTACAGCATGACAGGGACATGGCCCATTGTGCCCACCTCATGCAGACACCTCCTCCAGCTCCTCACCCAGCAGTGACTCCATCTTCCCACACCCCCGTCATCTGGGCACCTCTTATTCAGGCTCCTCTACAAGCTGCCGCAGCCACCACTTCAGTCGCCATTGCCCTAACTCGCCACCCCCATTTGACCCATACCCTCTTCCGACCCCCTGTCCCGCTGCTTGGCTCTCTGAAAGACCAACCAGGGTATGTAAAAAGGTTCCCAACTGCACTTTCGAGTGCTGCTGCATTTGGTGGCTCCTCCTCAACCAGCTCGCAGTTCAGCTCTTGTATGGAGACCCCAATTCTGGACACACTCAGGACCGAGAGATCATCTACCTCCACACCTCCACCACCGTCCTCCAGCTCTCTGCCATCCACCATCACAACAACAGTTACCACCACCACCTCCAACATCACAGAGTCTTCCTTCTACCCCTATAGACCCCTTGCTTCCCACGGGTCCAAAGACTTCAGTATTGCCCAACTTCATTCCCAACCACAACTTCCTCAGGTGTCTTTCCCTGGCATTGCTGCAACACTTCCTGGGTTCTTCCAGCAAGGAGCAATTGGAGGAGAGGCTGTCCAGCTTGCAGTTCCCCCTTCGTCCACCCTTACTCCTTTGATAGCGCATTCAGTAAGTCCAATCCTGACCCAACTGCATTCAGCTCAGCCAACTCCTCAACAAACAAAACCAATTCAAGATTTGAATAAAGTTGTAAGGACAGCCTCTCAGTCTCCTATAACAGAGTCCCCTGTCCGCCCCAGGAGCATTATTGAACAAGTCCTGAGTCCAAAAAGTTTCCCGTCCCAACACGCTCAGATTGGTCTACAGACGGATGTACTTTCCCAGCTTTCCCAAGAACCATCTGCTCTTGCTTCCCTTGCACAATATGGGTCCGGAAATGTGTCCCCATGTAGCACACCTTCAGCCTGGAGCCCAACATGTCAGAGTCCTACAGTGGAAAAGATGAGAATGTCCATACACAGCCACCCTGCTAGCATCTCTGGGTCCCAAAGCTCACTCCTAACCTCCCAGACACTCTTCCCACCGCCCCCTCAACCAAGAGAAAGGGGCGGCTCTCTAGTTGACCTACCTACCCAAGACTTAAGCACCATTTCCATGTCTCTCCCCAGCCCAGGACTACCTGAAATGTCCAAGCCGCTTGGAAGAGGTCCTCAACCACCAGACTTATCCCATCACAGGGGATCTGCTTCAGGTTACTCGCCGCTCCCGTCACCCCCTCCCCTTATGAAACCATTTAGCTCAATACCTGGTCACGTTGTCCTATCAAGACAAACTTCCAAGTTGTCCATAACGCAGACTGGGTCATCAGGTGGGTCACCAGCCCATGGATCTAGTGGCAGGTCCACCCCTGGGACTCCAAACTTGCACCCCAAACTCCCATCAAACTTGTGAGAATGGATTGCACCCTCCTACGATGAGTGAGCAACGTTTTTTAATACGTCAAAGACACTGACATTTCTCACCAGAGAAGGAGGGTGTATGTTCATTGACAAGGATTTCTATCGGTCCAGTGACTTCCCTATTTGTAATGCCAAAAGAAGGAATGTACTAACAAAACTGACCGAAGAATGAAGGTGTGACTTAAATTTGTCTTCCAAGTTCTGTCAGTAATTTTTGCAATATTATTGTCTGATGATAAGACTGTATAGGGATATGCAAATTATGACTTCCAAAAAACAAACAAAAAAGGACTAAAGGACGTACGTATGTTTGTGATTGTGTGTGTGCGCGAGCGATTGCTATTGTCATTATAATAGTGTGCTCTTTTTAAAGGAGGGAATTATGCTGGGTCAGGGAAGCAAAGCTACATTTGTCGCACTTCATCAGTCGGGCATCATCTGTCACTATGAAAGAACATGCCGTACAGGTCTCTCTGGGCAGGTGGCACAGATATATACACACAGGTGCACAGAAACGTTCACACATACACAAACAAACCTAGCCCTCAACATCCCAATTATCTAGACCTAGTATGATCTTTCCGCTAGACCTAGACCCCATACATACCTCCTTGCTGATGAAGAAGTACTGCTCAGTTTCTATGGCCTTTCCTTTTTGTAACAATAATGCCTTAGTGTCTGGACACCAGGGAACGACACCCTCACTTCCACAACAGAACCGAGAATATTAAGAATGTTTTGCAATCATTTTGTATGTGCTTTGTATGTGAACTTGTGCAGTACTTAAGCAATAAAACTGTATGCTTGGTTTTTGTACATGCACAGAGGTTGAACTGTAAATTGCAGCGTTCTTCCTGTCAAACAAAAGATACTGGGTGATTGTGACAATGGCAATGACACTAATAATATGACACTGTTATAAAAAAAGCCCACTGCAGTTACCAAAGCTTATGAGTTAAGAACTGTAATTACAAAGTCACGTTTGAATTTGGGTTTGTATGTTTCATTTATGTTTTGCATCTGTTCAAATGCACATTTTATATAATGCAGTAAGCCTATACCCCACAATTTGAATGAAGTTATACATGCTTTCTGGTTGTGCAATACATGTTTTGGTTAGTATATATTGTATTTCATATCTGTGAAAGTAAACATTTTTAACCATTTAAAATGTATTTCAGCAGAGGTACAGCAGACTAAAATAAAAACAACTCTGCTAACACAATAGTTAGCCTAGCACTTGCTATGATATGCCATATGTGGCTGGTGGTAAAAGGAGGAATAGTATTTTTCTAAGTGTCCTTCCTTTTGAGCAAAGCTTACACAGATGGATCATGACAATTCCCTGCTTTGTCCCAGGTTATTATATATTGTATCATTTATATGATTTTATATTACATGTCTATGTATATATCTATTTATTGTGTATGTGTGTGTTTTGTTAATCTATATATTCATAATTTAAACTATATACTGTCATCATCAGTCTGCAGATACTGTCATTATGCATCACTCGTTCCTTCCACTCAATTCTCTTCCATTCTTGCTATATGCATTTGATTATCATATCATTATTTTCATTTTCAGACCCTGATTTTTTCCAAGTTAACATCATTCCCTGCATTGAAGTCGGATAAAATTGCAAGGCAAAATGCAAATGAGAGTGTTATACGTGATGTTGAATATTAATGAGTTAAATATCAAAGCATCAAAGAGCTTTTTGTTAGTATTACAGAGCACACATTACACTGTAATATTTCTCTTTTTCAGGTCTGAGTGTGTGTGTGTACAGTATGAGTGTTTTACTGTGCGTTTATGTTGTAGCATGTTATAATATTCTGTGCATTTATTATTTATCATAACCAAAGTGAGGTATCATTAATAATTGTTATACAGTAGCATTTTTTAAAAATACAGCATAATTCAACATAATAACCGAGAAGTATTGGTGGCCTATGTGTTCATAAAGGATGCTCATTCCTTTTTGGTGTTCGAGAATTGTAATAATCCAAAACCTAATTTATGGTCACTGTATGGCAAAATGGTTAAGACATATGGCATATCCACGATGGACAAGTTGCGTCATTATGCATCAGTCTACAGTGCACTTTCAGTTCATCAAAAAAAGAAATTCCTTCCTAACCAGCATCCTCCTGGAATATGTCCCCTTCAGAACTCCTAGACATATTAGTGCAATATTTTCACATTGAATATGAACAACTGCCGTCAGTTATTAATTATTTATTTTTTTGAGTTGGAAGATGACCAGACTTGCCATGTTTGGTCAGTGTTTCACTGTATCATGATTATGATGATGATAATTATTATGGTAACAATATGTAATATGACACATGCTTCAGATTCAAAATATTACAGAATATAATGTTCATCATGAATACTGAATAATCATGTATGTACGAATATTCATGAGTATAGCTATATGATATTTCATTTGAACTATGTTAATCGATAAATAATTGTAAAAAATTAAATTTTATTGTTTTTCTTTGTTAAGTGTGTATGTCATTTATTTATTTCTGACCAGGAAGCATACCCATATTTTATTAGATTTCTATTAGTGTTGTTAGGCTACCACATTATTTTATTTTTATTTTTTACTAATATTAAATACAACAAACACTACCCAAAAATGAAAATGGGCTAAAAATTACCTCACCCAAGCCATCCAATAAGATGGAGATTTGGAGAAATGTACATCACTTGCTCATCAATAGATCATCTGCAGTGAATGGGTGCCGTCAGAACTAGAGTCCAAACAGCTGATAAAAACATTACAGTATTTCACAATTGATCTACGATTCCAGTCCAATTAACATTTTGTGTTTGTAAAAAAAAAAAAATCCATCATTAAGGCATTTTAACTCTTTAGAGCTGCTTTGGACTGTTTTTGCTTGTAAATGGTGGTTGATTTCGGCATATTTCTCTCCTGATTCAGACAAGACAACTTTTTCCACTGGAGAATAATACGGATAGAGGATATATTTGAATTTGATAATGCCTTTTTAGAGATGAAGCATTTCACTCACTTCACAAGACATTAACTGATGAACTGGAGTTGTGTGGATTACTTGTGGATTATTGTGATGTATTTATCAGATGCTTGGACCGCACCCATTCACTCCATTGGGGAGCAAGTCATGTAATGCTAAATTTCTCTAAATCTGTTCCTACGAAGACACTAACTAATCTATATCAAGGATGGCCTAAGGGTGAGTAAATTTTCAGCAAATTTTCATTTTGGATGAACTGTTGCTTTAACAGCACTCGTGGACATACTTGTTATTGTATTATATAATTTACTACGATTAGGCTGTAATAAACATATTGGTTTGCAGCACAAATAGTTTTCTGTTAGTTATTCTTCCACTTGTTTACCTACAGCGGCTAATAAATCGGAAGTCTCGCACACTCGCAGGAAATTGCTTAGGCTACTTCTGCACTGAAAAATAAGGTGAATATTGATCAATTTGAATTATATTGGATTACAATTAATATGAATAAATTAAACGTAATTATCGTGACTCTACCAAGATGCCAAATCGATTGACAGCCCTAATTTGCATTTCTAGCATTCATACATCATGGCTTCTGTAACACTGCCACAGATGGAGAGAATCACAAGGTCACGTCCTTGAAAATCCAATGCACTCAGTTCTCCCAGCTATCGAGCCTTGATTCCAGCGCTTCTGACACTTGATGTAGCTTCAATGGGGAACTGAGATAGCATCGTTCACTTCCCTGAGACAGTAGTGCATCACTGTCCTGCTCTCCATCCCCCACTAAACTGCAATGTCTAACCCCTATCAGTATCATCGCGAAACAGAGCATCTAATCTGTATGTTTCGCTCAGATCTAGCGCTCACCAGAGAAGTATTCTCCTCCCTGTGGTGGAACCAAGCAGAGATTTCTTGTGAAGGACTGTTGGCAGAATACACACCAAAGGCTGAAATGATGTTTATGGCAGCTATTATACCTTGTCTCAGCACTGGAGCTGATGCTTCGTAAGAACTCCACTCGATGTCAGCGAGCCCTGCTGGCGAATCAAAGCCTGGTTAAGCCTCACATTATTTGCATACAAATTGGCCAGCTGATCCCTGTCACTCTGACAATGCAGCCAAGGTACACCCAGACTGCAAGCCCTGCGAATTACAGCGTGATCCCCTAATATTAATGCCAAATGGATCCCTAGACTGGAATGAAACCTGATGATCTGAAGTTTCCCCTTATTGTCGGCCCTTGTGAAACTTTGAAAAGTTACCCAGTATTATGAATTTTAATTGCGCATCAGGACTTGCTGACTCGCTCTGCATCCGAGCCGCTTCTGCACAGAAGATGAGAAGTTTTTATTTAGGTCCGTGCTGGGGTTTTTTCTTCTTCTTCTTCTTTCATTTTCTCTCAGTACCCCTCCTCCCGGAGGAATAGTCAGGGTAGCCTATTTTGTGTCTTTTCGCTATGAATTAAATAAATAAAATGAATAAATTATGGACGTTTGCTTTTTGGTTTTTAACAACGTGCAATGCTGTGCCTTGGACGTCCTAACACACCCCTAGTGGTCTGTTTAAAGCCTCAACTCATTATTAAATTATCTTCCTTAAACTCTCAAGGGGTAATTTTGAATATTACAGCTAATTGACTATACAGACCTTGAAGGCAAATCAGAGCTTTCTCATCCAAGCTATTAAATGTGCATAATGCTAAGCACGTAGCATACATTCAATATCATTTTCCTGAAATGTTTCGATATTCCTTAGCATCAGGAGTTATTTAGAAGTGTAAACACAGAGCAATGACATTGGACTGACCTAATTATCGAGATTCTGTATTTTCAATATAATCCACGGGGTGGCGTTATTGTGGTATTTGCCTTTGACAACATATGAAAACAAACGGTGAACAAAACGATATGCTGTTTAATCGTTTTCAACAAGAAAGACAACAAAGAAAACATACAGGGAAAAACAATGTAATTCC